TGATCCTGTCTGTAATGCAGTCTGATCATCAATGGTCAAATGCTTAAATCCTTTAAGGAAATGTCATGAAGAAATAGTGAAAAGATAATTTTCAGGTATAATGTTCAACCTTTTGTTTATTTACTTATGAATCATAAATTCTCCCTTAGAAAAATCATGACATAGACCTGGGGAGGTAGCTCAGACATAGAGCGCTGCCTAGCAATTTAGGTCCTAAATTTAAGTTCCAACACTACAAAAAAGTCTCATTCCATCTCCATCACCTGCCAGACAAAAACAGTAAGGATAATCACAATATGCAGCTGCAAATATGAACAAAATTTTTGATTGTACATGGAAATATTTTGGAGCACCTTCACTGGAACTGGATATTTTCCTATGGGACTAGATAATATGTTTCCTATAGCAATAATAAAATGAACATGTCTGATATAGTCTTGAAATTTTTATTTTTATAAGTTACTATATATGTAAATAAGTAGTTATGTTTTGGCCAACAATTGCATGATTTTTTTAATATCATATAGGGATTTTTCTCTGTCTTATGTTCTATCTGAAAAGCAAGCCAAGCCAAATGGGATTAATCCCAGTATCCAGGAAACAGACAGGAGGATCATGAGGATCAGGAGAGGTAGAGCACATAGCAAGATTCTACCACAAGAAAAAATTTTAATTCATAATAAAAATTTATAAATAGTCATTTCCAAAAATTAAATAAAACATACAACCAAAGAATATTTGTTTTACTTCAAGTCTCTAAAGTCATTTCACTAACATTTTTAAATACAGTATTTAGATTTCAACCCACCTGATTGAAGCAAGCATGTTTTTGCAGTTATAGGCAGCATTGGTATAAAAAAAAAAAACAAACACAAATTTTGTTTTCCTTCAATGTCCCCATCTTTTACAGCAGAAAATTTTGTGAATCACGGGTTTAAGTATTAATGTATTCGAAAGGCAATGTAATACCTGGAAGTCCCTTGGTAAAATCCACCAGCCCATGCATGTGTAGGACTGTTGTCTCTGAGAGTTGCAAAAAGCTCAGCTCAGGATTAGCATTTTCCTGCATCTAACACATAAAAAGGAATAAAATAAATGTCATTTTCTTTTAACTATTGAAATTTTGAACTGTTATTTTATGCTTTGTTGTGTAATATTATTATAAATTATTTTTTGCCATTAACAAATACATACAAATGTTTTTGTTTCCTCTAAAGGAATTATATAGTTTTGATGAGCAGCTACGATGTTACTAATAAGCTGATGTTCCTCTTGACTTAAATCCATGCTGTCCTGAATCTATAAAAAAAAATACAGGAAACTGTAATGCATACTTATTGAATAAGATATCACTAACAAAAAAGAAATTGTGTGAGAAACGTCTTGCCGTTTTTCTGGTTGATGACACAGGTTTCTTGTTTGCTCCTTTCTCTTCCACTTTGATGTCAGAATGAAAACTATTCTTCTGCTTAACATTCTTTCGAAGTCTCTTTGAGTTACATTGGATTTCTGTGAGCAAACCTGTGACATTACAAAAATCATTAAAAATGTCTTTAGCATGGCAAATAATATAAGATTTGATCAAAAATTGTCATATACCATACATCAGTGAAGACTCAGGACATAGGGGAACCTATACTGTAACATCATATAACTCAATTGTCTCCCAAATTTTCTGATCAAGGAGGTTATGGGGCCACAGGGCAATGTGATCAATGATGTAGAGTGTGCCTAAGGAGAGTCACATAGAGAGAAAACATTTTCTCAGGCTTTCACAGAGAGCAAATTGGTCAAGCAATGGCCATGACTCATCCACACGGCTGACACTGACAAAGGATCTACAAACTATGGTACAAGATAACAGGATAAATACTGAGGGGATTTGACTGACTTTGTCAGATACAAAAATTACATTTCTTGGGCCGGGGAGATGGCTCAGTAGAATAAGTGCTTCCCTGGCAAGCTCAAGGGTCTGAGTTCAATCCCCGGTTCCAAAAAAAA